GGGGGGGGGGGGATAAGGCTGGTGAATATTCAATTCTGTTACCTTCTCGAGCTCCTTGAGACTAGCAGGTGAGACATCTGAGTGTCTTCTGAGCTCTGGACTTCTGGGCGGTGCAAGACCACTGCCCAGACCTGGTGTTTGTCCACCCGCTTGACAGCTAAGTCGTGCATCACTGTGCCGCCTTTGTAGTGCCTCCAGCACTGGTACTTCCAGCAGTGAGTCTGTTGATTCTTGAGTTACAATTGGCTGACCTCGAGATGCTAATTTACGTCGGCAAACACTGCAGCGCCATATTGCCTGGAGAACAGATGATTTTTCGTGGTATGTAAAAATGGGTGGATTGTAAAAAATGCATACTTTAGGTATGGACTACACTGTTAGAAATTTTCGTCAAATTTAGTTTCCTTTTTAATTGAAATTTCAAGGAATTACGTCATGGAAACTTCAGAATTTCGTGGAAAAATTGAAGAGAACTGTAAATTTCGGGTCCATTTTTCCCTGAAAATATTCTATTGATATATTTTCTATGGAAATTCTTCGGATCGAAATTTCCAAGTTCTTTCACTCGATTTTTAAATGAAAAGAGAAGACAAATCGACTGCAGTGTTAGAAAAAAAAAATTCATGGACAGTTAACTACTAATTTTTAGAACAGTGAAATTGAATGCGATTTAAGGGGAAAAAACATGAAATTTCAGGTTTCACTGAAAATTCCGTAAAATTCCAGAATTTTAAGGGCTATAAAGACGAGAATTCCTTAATTTATTTGAATTTCCAATCTAATATGGATATTCAATGTCAAATTGCATTGAATTTTCAGTGAAATCTGAAATTTCATGATTTTTTCGCCCCTAAATCGCATTCAGTGTCACTATCCTGAAAATTCGAGAATATATTTACCAGAATTTTCTGATTCTCTATTCATTATCAGGAAAAAATGGACCTGAAATTTAACGTTCTGTTGGATTTTTCCGCGAGATTCCGAATTTTCAATGACAAGAAATTTCAGTGGAATTGGAAAACGATGAAAATTTCCGGAATTTGGCACGGAAAATTCAGACAAAAATTCTTAACAATGTGAAAAAAACTTGGAAAATATATTTTGAGGAATTAAATTCATTCTATGACAGAAAGCAGATGTCCAAAATAATTCAGGTAATTTACGTTGTCTCAGATAAACTTGAAACATGGAATATTTTAATCTGGGCTACGTAAGTGCTACTTAGTTCTCCCCCTTGCCGCGTGATTAACGACTCGAGAAGATGGCAAGAGGGACTATAATCAAACTCCAGAAAAGCCATGAGGATGTATAGAATTAAGGGGGAGTACGCAGTCATGTTATGGGTGTGATATTTCTATTATTGTCTACTGTCACGGAGGCTAATGAAGAAGTTGCGGGAAGATTTAGGGAGAAGATATTGCGGCTTCGGAATAGAGTAGTACCGGCCTCAATTTTACTAGAGATTTAGCATTGATAATGGAAAGAGTCGTTCCTTCCATCTGCACAGAGATAAAAAATATTTTATATTCAGGAACATGTGACTGAATTTTCGGAATGTCTCCAATTATTTGTGATGGAGGACACTGACTAGAATGTCTTTGGTCGTCAGTAAAAATCCGTGACAGATTCTTAAAAATTATTAAATTAAAATTTTTTTTTCTCCGAGTCTCAAGACAATTCAACATTTTCAACATAAACTTTCCTCTCAAGCTATCGATTCAATCCCAATAAACGAGTTACATAACTAGTCACCAGTGCCTCCGTAATCACTACCTGTAGCCCTGATTGTGAGGAACAGTCCATTTTCTTGAAATAAATTCCCATTAACACAAGCGAAAAGGAAATAAAATGCTGAATCCTCTTGTGACCTCTTCATGCGGTTTTATGTGGAAATATGAAAATGAACGTTAAGTACTTCATAGAGGGAAACTGAGCCAACCATTAAGAATTTACTCAGCTTTCCGCTTGGAGATCGAAACTAGCCAGGATTGCCAGTAAACTTCTGTCAGTTGGATGTTTTCATCATTTCCGCGGAGGCAAAGCGGATTATGTAATAACATTGCCCCAGGGATAAATAAAACAAAATGGCAGGGGGTGTAGAATATCCCACAGAAATGATGGAAAAAAACTGAATGGACTTTTTTCTTTCATTCTTATTTCGTTATTTTCTTCTTCTATTTTTTCCTGTCATAGTACTAGCATTAATTGAAATGTTAAAATTTTTCGTATTATTTCGTTCTGTCAAATAATTCTGCATTCAGACCCTCGAAAGACTCGAATTCGTTTTCAGTCCGGGTTTAATCGAGGTTCAATCAAGGTTTAATCAGTGTACAGCCGGGATTTAATCAGGATTTATTCAGGATTTAGCCAGAGTTTAACCCAGGTTCTGTCAGAAGTTAGTCGGGACCATGAATCAATGTGAATACGTATTCAACATAATAGAATGGTACCTGAGTTTAATAGAGAATAGAGATTTTGATATGAAAAGCTCATGACGGTATTGTGTAACTTGATAAGCAATGATGCTGTTCTCACCATTTTTCAACTTGATTAAGAAGCCATTGAAATATACTTTTCAAGCCCTGATTTAATTACTATTTCTGATGATTCATTCAGTAATCATGAAAAAACCGATTTTCTTATTTTTTTAGGTATGAAATTTATTTATGATAGAATTTTGAATATAAATAAATTTGTTACGATTCTTAACAAATGATCTTTATAGTGGAAAATTGATAGTTTATAAAAATCGCTTGTAATTCTCAAAAATTGCCATTTTGGAATTATTTCATCAATCTTCGTCCAAAAATAAACTTTCGCATTTTTTGTCAGATTTTTAAAATCTTTTCTAACGGTTTAATATCGAGATTTAAATTGAGACCTACAAACTTTAAATAATAAAATCGTTGTAAAATGTCCGAAAATTTAGGGTCTAATGGGGCTCAAATAAAAGCTCTGATGTTTGACTAAAAAAGTAGAAAAACATTTGATTAGACAAAAAATAGCCAAAGTACTTGGATATCCTTGAAGTCTATATTCATGAAAAAAATCATGAAATTCGATTAATCCCTTTTACATAAATACATATAGACAGCATCTAAAAATCGCATGTTCGGACTTTTTAGATCACATTAACTTACCCAATCCCAAAGAATTGAAAACTTAAATTTAAACGCTTCCAAAGCATCTATTCGGAAGCAGAAATTATGCGTTGAAGACTTTTGATGAATACTTTAAACAAAGTAGTTCAAAAGTATTCCGGAAATGCAAATCGTAGTCTAGTGTGGCACACATTGCATATTACGAGGACATTTATACCATATATATACTGGGTTATACGTTCATGGACGCAGTGCGCATGCCAATCGTACTCACTGAGTCCTCGTAGTTCTGGGCTTCTGAGTATGAGGCACAATCCTCACAGACCTTGAACTGGCACTCGCCGCATATGCGGGCGAAATCATCGGGTTTGAAGGATTTCAAACATACTCTGCAGGCACCTGATCTGCTCGGTGGTCTGCCCGGTTCAGGTTTCCTAAACAAAAAAATTTGCATTTCAGTTTTTGATCTATCGAGCGATTAAATGTGACACACGGAGAGAATTTTTTGATAAAAATTATCCTACCGTTCTGTAAAAGTGTATTATGAGTCATCGTTTCCTCATTTTTATCTCGAAATTTAGTAAAAATTAATATATGACGATGAAATTTTATTTTACGTTAGAGAAATTTTATCCTGATGAAAATAAAAATTACCGTGCCGCAGAGTAAAAATTACTGTACCGCTTTTCGTTGTTATCTACATAAAAATTATTGGACTGGAAGGGTAAAATTTATCATGCGTCAGGATAAAATTTCTTTAACGTTAAATAAAATTTGATCATTATATATTAATTTTTACTAAATTTCGGGATGGAAATGAGGAAACGATGAGTCATGATACATATTTATCGAACGGTAGGATAATTTTTATCAAAAATTTCTCTCTGCGTAGAATGGAACAAATCTATTGTTTCGAATCTCGAGAAAAAACACAGCCCGGGGGGAAGAGCAACGCCAGGGAAAAAAGCCCATTCATTCACGACCGCAAGGTCACGTAATTTATTTTTTTTTCTTTTGAAGGATCGCAAGTTTCATGTGTTTGAACATATGTGATTTTGGTGCGTGGGCTTTTTTCCAGCTACTCAATTTTTCACGACCTGCTGACTGTTGGATCATCGGGATGATTGATGATGTCAGGGCGGAAATATTGGAGGATATACAGTGTTAGAAAAAAAAATGAAATTTCATGGGCAGTTGACTACTAATTTTCAGGACAATAACACTGAATGCAATTTAGGGGAAAAAAAATTATGAAATTTTAGGTTTCACTGGAGATTATGTAAAATTCCAGAAATAAACAGCATAAAGACGAGAATTCCTCAATTGATTTGAATTCTCAATTTGAAATTCTGGAAGTGAAACGTGAAATTTCATGATTTTTTTAGCTCTAAATCGCATTCAAGAATGTATTTACCAAAATTTTCTTGTTTTCTATTCATTTTCAGAGAAAAATGGAACTGGAATTTACAGTTCTCTCTGCTTTTTCCACGAAATTTTGAATTTTTAACGATTAAATTCCAGGAGTAATTAAATTCGATATAAATTTCCGAAAAGTACACCGGAAGTTTTAGACGTCGTTGTTGATAGCAGAGTAATTATTTATCTTTGAGACTTTCAAATTCAAACTAAATAATAATTTTTTTTGTAATTTTTAACTCACGATTTTGTTGGCCGAAACAACATTTGTTTGAGAACTTGTTCGTTTTTCTCTCAGTGTACAACCGTAATTTTACGTGAGCCATTATTTCTTTAAAAACTTCGTAAAACTTCTTTCTCACGAAAGAAGACGTTTCACGAGTTCTTCAAACTATCCCAAAGATTCACAGGGAGGATTTTCGGAATGCTGTAATGGCAACAGTTTAATAGTTTACGAAATGTTCAAAGAGCATCGCATAAAGATTTTATTGTTGATTGAATTTCTCGGATTCTTCTTCTTATTGTTGTTCTTATTTTTTTAATTCAACTTTAAAAAAAACCAAAAAGTTTTCCATGACGGAAGTTCACAAAACGCGTCGCGTCATATCTGAATGGCCCCTCATTCATTTAATTATTTCCTCGGAAAAGCGAGATTAATATCTAAAGTGAGATCGCAGCATTATGAATCCATCTGATGAAAGCAGTAATTTTTTCATCGTAAAGAATGAATGTAAAAAATAGAGGGAAAAATAGTCTCGTGTTCAGAGGTATTATTAAAATCTCTTCCATCCATTGTTTACATGCTCTGTTCCTATTTTCCTCTCGTTATTTCTCCACTGCCCACAGCACTATTCTCTGTACGGTTCGACTGAAATGAATGCACATTATCCGTAGCACTGACAAATGAGGTCAAAAATGTACGCACAATGTGACGAATTGATTGGCGCCGCAGAATTGATTTTGTTTAATATACAAGGAGATTAATGAAATTGTGTGCAGGAATATGCCAAATTCAGTCGTACGTTGAGAGAAAACATTAGTTCTACCGAAAAATCATATGTTCCCCTGACGAAATCTATTGTCGCGTTGAATCAATTTACTTGAGGACAAAAAAGAAAGTTTCCACGAAAACATAATTTTCGTAGTAGTAATTGTTCTCGTGACACATTTATATGTCTTTCGGGTAAATACATTCGTTCTACAGGGAATTATATGAGGCTCCGGTTTTATAAAGTCAATGTTATCGAGTAGTGTATATCTTTGTCCAATAAGCACTTATAATTTCCATGGAACAAATGATAATTTCAAGAGGAAACTACAATTTTCTTGCCGATAACTGTTATTGGCAAAACTAAATAATTTCGAGGGGACAATTTGTTTTTGGGAAAAAAATATTCTGTTCTCGTCAATGTATTCTTTCTATGGTATAAATCTATGGAGTTCTCTCAGATCAAATGATTGTCGTACATTAGATTATATTTTTTCCTGCCAACAGTTGGAATTCTTCTAGGAATCTTTCTGATGATCACGACAAAAATTTAATTTTTGTGGAAGATATTAAATTTACTTCAATCAAGTTGGTTAAGTTCCCTCAAGTAAACCAACTCCTCATGGGGAACATATAGTACTTCGGCAGAGTTAATTTTTCCTCTCAGTGTATACTGTACATGCACCTACTCGAGTCTGAGAATTAACGAGGAGTCGTTACAGAAAATAGCCAACAAGTAGTTGAACGAATGAGTTTGATGTTATCGGTGTTAATTTTATCGTGTTTTTTGCCATTCTGGAAGTATTTGTTTTCAGTTAATGTTCCAGTTAATGCCACCAGTAGTTTTACGCGTAAATTTTACATTTTACCCATTAAAAAATCACTGAGGGTGGCTGAAACCGCGCAGCGGCAGTTACTGGGACACTGACGGTACAGAAAGTAATTCTCTTATAGTTTACTTACGGTTTAGGCGGCTCCACTGGTGTTATTTCCTCTTTTGGCACTATGTCCTCGACGGGTGTGATTTTCGTTGGTTTTGCAACTGTAATTAACGAACAGCAAAACATTAATTGAGATTTAACGGATGGAAAACTGTCTGGTTCATTCAATTGATCAATTACTGAGGTGATATATAATTTTTTAATATGTTCCGCGTTTCACATATGATTTAAATCACAATCCTGATATTCTGGGGGAATACTAGACGTGTTGAGTGCCTACGACGATGAAGAAAGAATTCGATTAAAAGATCTCAGTGGGAGGGGGAATATATCTTGCAGGGGCCGGATCTAATTAAACTTTTTGAAAAATTGTGAAAACTCCTTCTGTCACGGCTGTCTCACTTTCATTATTTCCGAGGTCAAATGTCTTGGGGAGTTTCGTCTTTGTCTCGCGAGGAGTGGAAGAGTGGCGGGATGATGAGAGAGACGAAGAATTTTTAACGATTTTAGGATGTTCTAGTGAATAGACGAATAGTAAATTTTTTCCGTTGGACCGGGAAAATTTAATGAACGCGAGGGTAATTTGTGCCGAATCTGTCAAATTTACCCTGCATTCCATCAAAAATTGTCCCAGCGAACGTGAATGATTGCTCAATATTGCGTATAATTGTTGTGTAATGGAGAACGAATCGTAAAATATCCTCCACAAACAGATATTTTGTCATTGAATTACTTAAATTATTTGCTCGACTCAAATTTTCCAAGTTCTTTTCGTTCTACTTTTCTTTTCTTCTCATCAAGAAAATCAAACGAAATAAATTAGAAAATTTGAGCCGAGGAAATTCTATAGAAAATATCTCAATAGAATAAGTTATACAGAAAAATTGAATTCTATTCACTTTTTCTACTGAATATTTTTTATTGAACATTGCAATAGAATCGACCAAAAACTAATGAAACCGTTCAATAGAAATTCGATAGAATTTTCTAACGAATTCGATTGGTTTTTCTACTAAATTTTTTCGTCCGTGTAAAACAGAATTTCTCAAAATTTAAATTCTTTTTATTTGTCGAATTAATTTGTAGTGAGAATGTCTGATCGCTTTCTCACGTAAAATTACACTGTCTCCACAACGTCTTTGGTTTACCCAGATGCAATGCACACTCCACGGCAGTGATTGTATGAAAAATACAAGTCACGCCTCGGAGGCATATATCTCAGTGGGCTCTCGCTATTTCCCAGTTCGCCCCTTTATAACACCTGCCTACCCTCTTCAAGCCCCAGCGTGGAGTATCAAACGAGGCCTCCAAGTGCCCTTTGTCTCTCCTTACCATCGAGACATATCGATTTATTTCACTTTTTTTTCGGAATGCTTCTGAATTCGCGTGGAAGAAGCAGAGACTATGGAAAAATCTCTGATGTAATGCTTTTTATTCCTCTTCGGAGGATTTTCACTCCTTAACAGCTTAAGGAGTGGAAATTCTCTCATTTCTATTTTTCTTTTTTTTTCAAGATCTCGGCTTCAAGAAAAAAAACATCAAAATTTCATTTTTTTTCACATAAAAAAATTAAATGAAAAAAAAATTAATGTTTTCAAAATTATTTGAGTGTAATTTTTCTCTAAAAAATTAAATTTCGTGAACAGTTGACGACTAATTTTCAAGACAGTGATACTGAGTGCGATTTAAGAGAAAAAAATCATAAAATTTCAGATTTCACTGAAAATTCAGTAAAATTTCAGAATTTTAAGCAGCATAAAGACAAGAATTACTTAATTTATTTGAATTTCCAAACTAATATGAATATTTAGTGCCAAATTACATTGAATTTTCAGTGAAATCTGAAATTTCCTATTTTTTGCCCTCTAAATCGCATTCAAGAATATATTTACCAGAATTTTCTGGTTTTCTATTCATTTTCAGAGAAAAATGGAACTGAAATTGACAGTTCTCTTTGATTTTTCCACGAAATTTTAAATTTTAATGACGAAATTCCTTGAAATCTCAGAGGTAATTAAATTCCATAACAATGTTCGAAAATTTCAGACAAAAATTTTTAAAAAGGCTCGAGAACAACGAGACTCCCCTTAAGTTTCACCTCCCGGAGAAGCACAGACTAAACCCCTTAAATAAATACCCAAACAAATCTCTCGAAACATGATTCGTCAAGATTATATTTTTCACTGAATATACATAAACCTCTAAATGTTATTTATGATTCATTAAATATTAAATTTTAATTCCAAGTTACAAATTGAATTTAAATTATTCAAGTTTGCGCAGGAATTTTCCCCTGTGCTCATTAGAATATTTTAATCATGTTCCGGATTTTTAATTAGAGACGAGACCAAATATTGGAATTACTCCCCACTCGGTTGTTGAGTCCCTTCCTCATTAAAATGTGACGTTAATTTCAATTTTTATCATCATTCCGAGGATTCAATGTCTGTCCCTCAAAGCAGATTCATTATCCCTTTGGAAACGACGAGATTGATTCTGCTGTTAGTACTTTAATTTACATTACAGTATTATCAATCACTCATTTGATTTTCAAATTTATGTAACGGGGAATTTCACCCGCGTGTATGAATACACGAGGCACATGGAGACATTTTATTTTGGATGGTAACGGAACAATTACCGGACCGACAATTGGTCAATTGTTGTAGCCCATCCAGCGACCATTTTCAATTGGATAAACGATTCCCCGGAAAATTTCACCTCTGAATTCCGGTGTCACGGGAAGTATAATGAGTGAGCCAGACCAGCGAGGCTTCGTGAATATTCATATAACGAGTCCCCTCACGCTGTTGAGATATGTGGAATATGGCTTGGGGGGGGGAGGGATTTGAGAATTAAGAGTCACGGAAAAACGGAGGAAGTGGAAAATCTGTTAGTCACAGGAACTAGAAGTGATCATTACTTTAGAGATATTTTCGCTGGAGAATTTTATTGATTTTTTGTTGAACCCCGTTCAATTTTTTTTTAATCTCGAAAATCGACATTTCACGAAAGGGTGGAGAGGAGACGCATGTATGCGGAGGCTTGAAATTTTTACTCAACAAGGGGAGAAGGTTGCAGAATCTATTCTAGCCACCCTTGTACCTCCACTTGCATGCGTTGTCTAAATAAAAAATGAAATTGTTAACAAATCTGACCCTTTGGTTCCGGGTGAAAAAAAAATTTTGCAGTTTTCACTTTTTCCACAGACTGTTGAGAGTTCTGAATAGCCAAGTTAGTTCATATCAAAGTTCAATAGAAATGTTATAAATTTTTCTAGCGAATTCGATGTTTTTTCTTTTTGGTAAAAATTTAATCATGACTTGATGATATTAGTTGAAATATGAATGATTCTTTCATGTTCGATTAATGTATTTGCCAAACTCCCATTGAACTTTACGATATTCATTACTCCATTAGCTATTTATAAACATTGAAATTTATCCCACAGCTCTAAATGACTATGACGCATTATTGAGAATATTTTATAAGATATTTGAAAATTTCCCGCACGTTCTGCCCGTGGAAATACTCCAAGGCGAGAGCGGCCCCCACGGGAATGCCTATGCCCGGACGATATCCAATAAGACCTGATATTTATCATTCCATCGTTTTCCTCGATTGCACTGCAATATATTCCAACCCCTTTCTCACTCTCTTCATCTTGCTCCACTGCCATTACCCACTTCTAGTTTCCACCCACCACCCGGATATGAGACTATCAAGAAAAAGTTTCCTTGAAATTATCTAGGAGACGGATAGCTCAGTTCGCAGAGCACCCGATGCCACGATACCCTGTTATGATCACTAAAATCATCTTCATGTAATTGAAAATTACATTCTTTACCACCTACACTCTGCATATACTAGAGTGCCATTTTTTTCAACAGATAAAACAACTCATTTCACCATTTTTTTGGCACAATAAATAGAAATAAACAATATAAAATTGTATGTGTAATATAGGGCAATTTAATATATTCTTCAAATATATATAAGATTTATATAAAATATAAATTTATATGTGTTGCATATATATTTTATATTTTTATTATTTATATATTATATATATATATATATATATATATATATATATATATTTGTAACATTATATTATTATTATTATAATTTATATTTATAAATAATATATAAATAATAATAATAAAAATATATAAAATATATAATTTTTAGAATATATATTATATTTTTCCGTATGGGTTAGTTTACATACAAAAATACATTATTTTTCATCATATTTTCCGTAATTTAAATATTAATTCTCCTCACTTTATGAAATTTTGGCGTAAAAAATTGTGACGTCACATGATCGTCACATGGCCGATATAAAAAAATGTCAGTAATATATTGCATCTCTAGTGGAAACTGACTGGGAGACACAAGAGCTCAATTTGAATTCGTTTAGGGTTAAGAGTCGCTTGAATATAAAGAGAATATGTTGTAGATATGGATACGGCGGTGTAAAGATAAAGGAGAAGGGCCACAGTACGACGATATTAGATCGCACTCGAGGGATTAAAGAGCCCCGGGGAGTTGGCTCACATCTCCCACCCTCTCCCCTCCCCCCGCGCGCGCTCCATTTAATGTTTCTTTTTTCTCTCAAGCTACGTTTTACACTCTCCCTGGAACATACAGTCCAACAAAACACGGTTGTAGGTATATTATCCACAAGCTGGTGAGCAAGTCGAGGGGGCAGACTGCTAATTGAACTACGGGTTGTACACCTTGAGACCCAAATGACCTTGTCTACGCAGACGTCACGCGGTGATTACCCATTTACCCATTTTTAACGTCACGTATACGACTCCACTTTCTCCATAAAGGGGTATATTGAGGTTTTTAAAGTGAAAAAGAAATTTATAGGTGCGAGGGTGTGACGCTATGGAGACGTACTGGATGGCGGCATTGGTTGCAGAGTCGACATTAAAAGTTTATGGTGAAAATTTTAGAAGGTTCCCGAGTGCAGAGGTGAAAGGTTACAAATTACAGTAAATTGTTCAATTCGTGGGAGGAATGCAATTTGCACGATGGACTCGCTGCGGGTTTGCGAGGGGAGGAGTCTCCATAATCTCCAATGGTAATG